CTAGAGAGAATGCAGCTTTAACACATGAAGCTTTGGATTCACTTTAAAGAACCGGAGGTTGTCTCCTGGAACGTCTCTCTCTAGAGTCTCCTTATGTGGATATAACCCTAAAGAAAACATAATATCATTATATTCCATTCCTGTGAATAGATCCCCCCTAAATGCTACACACTGTACCTTTAAAACAATACAAGGATCATCTGTGATTGCTGTGAACTGAGCCTCTAACATGTCGTCCCTGGTTGTTATGTTGTCAGCTGACACACAGAATAAAGAACGATCACAGTGCTCTCCCACTGTTCACCACAGGTGCAGCACAATAGAGGAGCCTTAGGGAGGCGTCTAAGGGCCAATAAAGAGCGTTAGATAAATCCATCACAGGCCTGTGGATTACAGTAATCCCATCCACTCTCTCGTTTGGGTAGCACACACTCATCACATTCCAGCAGCTGAAGAGGAAGATGGAGGTCACTGCTCGGTGTGCTACTGTACTCTTCCTCCTGCTTCTGTCTCAGGGTAAGTCACAGTGCAGCTGCATGATATACTCACTGTCTAGTGTTTTTAATGTAACCATGTTATGAAAGTACGTCATGGCCAAAGAGCAGATCATTGTTTGACTTTATCAAAATGTATTTTTTGTTCTTCAATATCATGTTGTTTCTTCTGTTCACATGTACTGAAATTATGCAGAATAATTAGATATATTTGTCACATTAAAAAGCCAGCAAACAATTCATGAATTCATTTGTGTTAATGAGTTTTGATTTTAGTTAGTTTGCTCTTTAGTTTCTCCTGTAAAATTGAGCTTTTAGCTTTCACCTTCATCTGCTTCTCCATTTCATGCATCCACTGACAGCTCTGATGGCCGTTCACTCTCAAGAGGTAAGAGCTCAATAATAAGCCACCAAACGATGTGATATGAACCCTGGATTAACTCATGTGTGTGTGTGTGTGTGCGTCCTTCAGGAGGAGGAGGAGCTACAGGAGGAGGACCAGCAGGAGATCGAGACGTGGACATCAGATACTAAAACCTGCACCTGTGACTGTGAGTCTGCCGGCTCACCGACCATCAGCCCACCTGTCCCGCCCACCTCACTGCTGCCGCCACTGCTGCCCCCTCAGGGTGACCTGCTGAACTGCATGCCAGGTGATGACTCCCCCCTGACAGGTCACATGACCTGGGTTTACCGGTAGTCTGCTATAAACCAGGCCGTCATGTGAAGGACAACGATAACGTTCACACGTGAAGATTATTATCTGTATCCTGTATCTTGTGCTCACAGAGAGCTCCAGCTGCTGTGATGGAGCTGACTGTGTTCTAAATCTCTGCAGTGGGGCACGATTCACCTTCTACCATGATCGTGACAATTTTCAACTCTAAAGCTACGACAATGATTTTTCATTTAGTGTTGGTTCTGTTGGTCCCTGTGGACTAAAGTGTCTCTGAGCACCAGAGTCCCTTTAGAAAACCTCTCATTCTACCGCAGCAGGGTCTGACAGTCTGCCCCTCTCAGTCCTGGTTCTGGTTCTCCCGTGCCTCCCTTCCCTCCAGCAGGTCCAGCAATACGTCCTGGGTCTCCAGCAGCGTGGTGTCGGTGTTGACTCCCAGAGAGGAGAAGCTCTGCTCCTGGAGGTGGAGGAGGAGACGCTGCTGCTGCTGCCGGGAGCTGAGCTCTCCTCCTCCCTCCGGAGGTCCGACTGCAGGTCCAGGCTGCGGGTGAAGCCGGATCTGTCCACGGTGGACCGGTCTCTGCTGGAGGATCTGGGTCTGTCCACGGTGGACCGGTCTCTGCTGGAGGATCTGGTATCCGACCCGTGGCTCCGATGACGAGCATCAAGAATAACTCTATAGAAACAGACCATCTTCTCTCTGATGGTCTCTTTACTGATGGAGGTCTGATAGAGGATCAGGACTAGACTGAGACTGGTTCAGAATCAGTTACAGCACCTTTGAGTTCTGTTACGTAGATTTAAGAAATGAACAGCTGTGAGGAAGAGGCCTGAGATAATCTCATCACCTGTACAGGAATGTGATGATGAGATTAGGAAGCCCTAAATAGGCGGTGCCCTTCACTTAATAGCACGATACAGCGGACAAAGCAGCGCAGATCAGATGATGTCCCGAACATCTTCTTCCTCCTCATCACGCGATCCTCCTGCTATCAGATCTCAGGGTTAATTAGATCAGGAAGCTGAGAATACTTAGTTGGGGAATAAAATCATGACGCCATTCAAATGTTGCTTGGACGTTCATTGTGATGCATATTAGAGCCGGTTGTGTTTGTTGGGGCTGAATGATTTAGATTTCACACAAATGTTCATTTTTACTGATACTCCAGTGATTTACACGGGAAGTTGGACAAAAGGAAAGATGCTTAAGTTGCAAGTTTGTCTTTAAAGGAAAACCTCACCCTTAAAATGACCATCTGTGTATCAGTTACTCTCCACGTGTTTCTTTGAAGGAAACGTCACGGTGAACAAAAGAATCAAAAAGCTGAGAAAAGTCTTGATGAATTAAAGTAAATAGGCCGAGTTAAACAACAGCAAAACATCTGTTTACAAAGTCTCACACAACTGGTGCAGTTTAATCTAAATCTCATTTCATCCAGTCGTAGATCACTACTCCACAAACATGCATCTTTTGTTAAAACCTGGTTGTGTCATAACGAAACTCTTGCAAGACTGGAGGACAGGTAGTTGAGTCTCACAAGAGTTCTTGCAAGTTTTTGCAATTTATGGGAAACCATTTCGACACGACTTTAAAACCTTAAACTGTCTCACGCTTGCAAAGAAAGTTTTAAATGTTGAGCTTTCAGTGAAGGCGCATGCGTTTGTGAAACAGTGACCATAGGACTGGATAAATGAGACTTGGACTGTTCTGCACCAGTTGTGTGAGAGCTTGTGAACAAATGTTTACTTCAATTCATCAAGACTTTTCTCATTTTATTCAAAGTCTTTGTTCAACGTGGAGGAACGAGAGGAAGAAGTTTCCTTCAAGAGTTCAAGTGAAATGAGGGAAAGTAGCGGACGGTTGTGTTGAGGGTGGCGTGTTCCTTTAAACAGCTTCTTCATGGGTTACATTAAAAGTGTGAGGTGATTCTCTTCATGCATTATTCATAGTTGTAATGTCCTCCACAGAATGTCCTTACCACAGAGCTCTGGGCTTTGAATCTGGATCTGTGGAATCAGACCAGATCAGCTGCCCCAGTCAGGACCAGTACGTGGGCTGGTACTCCTCCTGGATCCCCTCCAAGGCTCGCCTTAACAACCAGGGCTTTGGGTACGTCACCACAGCCCAGTTCCTCTTTCTCTCATCGTCACTAAACAACAAAACAACAAAAGCACACCTTGTTGTTTGTGGTCAGGTGCGCGTGGCTCTCCAAGTTTAACGACCTGCATCAGTGGATCCAGATCGACCTGAAGGAGGTCTCCGTGGTGTCCGGTGTCCTCACTCAGGGCCGCTGCGACGCCGACGAGTGGATCACTAAATACAGCATCCAGTACCGCACGGTGGAGACGCTCAACTGGATCTATTACAAAGACCAGACAGGAAACAACAGGGTGAGAACACAAAACACCTATTGTAAAGCTTTCATCAGCAAAACTATATTCAAATACAACACTTTACTAAATACAAAAAACTAAAACTGTACCATATTCCAAAACTTAAAAACAAATACAAAATACAAAATACCAAAAGTTTAAAGCAAACTTTGTCGACGAGTTTCAGTTCAGAGGATCATAAACATCGAGGCTTCTGCATCAGTGAGACTTAATGCATCATATAAAACATGTCGACCAAATCAAATCTGTCAGAAACAATCAATATTAATGAAGCTGCCATAACAACTTATATTCTCCCCATTTAAAGGGACAGTCCCCCCATGAAATCTAAACTACATATTCTTCCTCTCACCTGCAGTTCTATTTATCGGTTCAGATAGTTTTGGTGTGAGTTCCAGAGTGTCAGAAGTATTGACCGTACAAATATCCGTCTTCTCTCCAATTATATGGAACTAGATGTCTCTTGGCATTTGGTGCTCAGAGCACCAAAAACAATACATTTGAAAAACAATGTCTCTTTAAATAAACCCTGACCCGGTTACTGAGGATGATCCACATAGTTTCATGAACTATGGTTTAAAGAAAACAGTTCCTACATGTTCACAACAAGTTCTGTGTTTCTCAAATGTCATTTTTTGTTTCGGTGCTCGTCACGACAGGTAAGAGGACAAATATGCAGTTTTGCTTTTGGGGTGAACTGTTCCTTTAAATCAACGATACAACATGACTGCTGCCAGCTATGATCTATGTGGAACACACAATACTGTATATGAGTACATCACAAATATGAAATAGATAGAAAACTAATTCCTGCTCTCCAAAAGTGCAGAAATGAGTTTCCTGTGTATCACTGAAGGTGAAGAGACGTGATGATGATGAAGTGATTTAGTGACTATTTTCAGGTCTTCTATGGGAACTCGGACCGCTCCTCCACGGTACAGAACCTGCTGCGCCCCCCCATCGTAGCCCGATTCATCCGCCTGCTGCCGCTGGGCTGGCACACCCGCATCGCCACCCGGCTGGAGCTGCTCATGTGCATGAACAAGTGTCCCTGAAGGCAACACGGCCTGCTCACTGTCCACCTGATAACCTGCAGCCTGCCAACAAAATAGATCCTTGATGTTACTTTGTTATAGGACCAGTGGTGGAGAGTAACTAAGTACCTCTACGCACGTACTGCAGTTTTATACACATGTGAGGTACTTTACTTAGTTTTTTCTTGTTACTGTATTTTTCACTGTGCTACATCTCAGAGGTACATATTGTACTTTTTACTCCGCAAGTGACAGAAAATGATCACAAAGAGAGATAAAACAAATACAAAGAGACTCAAATCAGCTACAAAGAGACATAACGACTACAAAATGACCAAACGAATTAAAAAGTGACAGAAAACAACAGCCAGATGTAAAACGGCTGCAAAACGACAACAAAGAGACTCTAAATGACTAAAAAAAGAGACAGAAAACAACTACAAAGAGACAGAAAACAACTACAAAGAGACAGAAAACAACTACAAAGAGACACAAAACAGCTGCAAGGAGACAAAATGACCAAAAAGAGACCAAAATTGTCTCATAATCCGTCCATGCTCCCAGGACAGCGACGCTACAAACTAGTATCTTATAGAAAATGATGCATTGCTGTAGATTAAACCAGCCAACAGGATATAAAGGAGTTAACATGCAACATAGACATTAATGCAGCAGGAATATGAATCCAGAAACATCAGACATCAATAAATACTTTTACTTCTGTAAGGTTCTGCAGGTATTTTACTTGTAGTGGAGTATTCTCAGTGTATTAAGATTTTGAATGCAGTAAATACTTCTTCCACCACTGGTCATGGTGTTTATGAACTTTTTTTATCTTAAAGTCTGTCTGAACTAATTGTTTTTAAATACAAAATTGGACACCTTCAGAGTCAAACAATATAATGAATAAATATTCCGCAGGTAAAGATTCAAATCAAATGTTTTATTTGAGATTTACTGTTACATATGTAAACATGAATATTCTAACTCGTTAAGCATTCATTTGTGGGTTTATGCTCTCATGTAAATGCTCTGTTGAGAAAAGAAAAGCAGATAAACACTGAACTATGCTACTAATTTGTGTCTGTAATAAAAGCACAAACGTAATACTTGATTTTCATTTAAACAGTTGATAAACATCCTCTGTTATAAATATTACCACACAAGTAGTCACACATCAGTATTAATATAATACACGGTGCTCCTTCAGCAAAAACGATAATCCAAAGAGAGAAACGTATCGCGTCGTGTACGGAGTGCGCACAGTCCTTACAAACGCACAACACACAATACGGTACGGTCATGTCGGGAGCCTCGGGCCTCAAACACTGTGCACATGATGAACACGGAGGGACGAGGAATTTACAGAGTTTGGGGCGATATTGCTGAGCCGTTCAGTCTCTTTAAAGTGCAACATTACAAAGCTGAGGATTTATCTCTGCCAAGCTACTTTTCATGGCACTTTTACACCAGACAGAAGACACTGTTACAGCACAGAGCTTCTGCCCCCTCTGTGGTTTCTCCATGTTAAGATTTCTCATAAGTTTGATCCCAAGTGGCTCAGAATGTGCAATCATATAACAGAAACACTCCAGTGCAGTGATTCCCAACCAGGGTTACATGTAATACATGGAAACGACTAGAGAGCAGCGGAACTCATCTGACCTGAACATAAGTTACGTGTTGCGAATGAGAGTGTGTGAAAAGCAATGAACAAATGGTTTAAATAGTTACGGGGAAGGTTTCAAAGAGTGTTACATCAGTAGGTTGTAGGATGTAGTTGAGTGATTTCAACGTATTGACCAGAGAAATAAAGATTCCTCACTGAGAACATAAAAGACTTTGAAGCGTCTCGTTGGGAACATAGGACCCTGGGAACATAGGACCATGGGAACATAGGACACTCGGAACATAGGACC